TATATATACATATATATACTTCTAAAATAATGAAACGCGGTAGAAAATAGTTGAACTTTGTGTGATGTGTCAGTTTGAGATTACGGTCAGACAGTCAGAGTGATCACAGATTAGACGGTCACAGTCCAGCAATCAACATCAAGAGTTCCAGACTCACCCCAGAGTCCAAAGTCCAGACCCCAGAGTCAAGACAAACCGGCTGGGGTTGTATCCGACAATAACAGACACCCTTAGAGGCAATGTCGTCGCGACATGTCTGACATGTCGTTTGGTGTTGCTACAGTCGGGTCTGGGTCAACACTAGGTCCGTCGCCGACACCCAAAGCCGACCGACATGTCTGACAAAATGTTGTGCCGACACAATACATATCTGACATGTCTTTTGCCAAATTTTCAGGTAAATAAATACTAATAAGCATGTAGCCACTCTCTCTACTCATGAAGTACAACAGAGCGGTCTTTTTAGCCTTTACAAATCACAACGAACAAAGATTTCCCAGAAATTTCATGTTTACTCCGTCCCCAACACCAGAGGCGACTGCAAGTCTGCAAGTCGCAAGAAATCTGCCAGTCTGCAACAGTGCAACACTGCTACGGGCAACCTGATTACCTGATACCTGATCACTGATCATTATCATTGTCAAGTTGTCAACTGTCCTAAACTCACAGTCACACTGTCACAGTCGTGATCGCATAGATTTTTGTTTTGTTTTGTTTTGTATTTTGTTTTTTGTCGTCGTGTATTTGTTTTGTAAAATAATAAGCAAAAAAAACAAACAAAAACAAAACACAAACAAAAATATATAAATGTACATGTATTTATTTATTTACAGTGTAAATATGTACCATGTACTGTATTTGTTTTTTTTTTTTAACAAGAGAACAAAATAAAACAAAAGAGACAAAAAAAACCTACAAGTACACTAAGTGTTATATGCCAGTATTATATTGAAGTAAGTTAATTTATTCCAGCAGTTTATATTATATAGTACTGCTCGATATATATTTTGCGTAACCTCATGAGTTATGACCCGTTCAAAAAAAGAAAGAATCATTCTAGATCAATACCAGGCCTAAAATAATGTAGCCGTTAGAGCTAGACCCGTATATACACCGGAAACAGAAAAAGAAGGTATACATATGTTGAATGCAAATGCCTCTTGTGGCCCACTTCGGCTCTGTTTCGTAACCTTTTCCTTGGTGTATATAGACATTATTAATTCGTGGCTGAGGAAAAATTTCTCTATCTGTTGTATGTGTATACATGTTTTCTTCCAGCAAATTTGGCATAAGCTCTCACAATAATTTGAACAGTGTCTTTGAGGCGAGTTGTCTAGTACTAAGTTTGATTTTATGTAGTGTTGAGATAGGACTAAATCATAATACATCATCATTGTGTACAGGTTCAAAACCATGTGCACACGTATACATTTGAAAGTTGGAACGCTGGCAAGGCAGGCCAGCCTCAGTAGCATATTACTTGAGAATGTGCTCTCTTAAAAATTATTGGCACGAAGATATATAGTTTATCTATTGTTTTTCAGTGCTCTTAGTGTTGATCTGATGAAGTTTCAAACGCCGAAATAATTTTTTCGCCACAGATGATGGATAGTTGTTTATTTACATATATTTTGGTAGAAGACATATTTTGAAAGGAAAAAAAGAACTCTTGGATGTCTTGTTGATATTTTTCACCAATATAAACCAGATTTCAAACACGATTATGTTCTAGTATCATCTATTTAGACATCAGTGCAGTGACTATCCACACATCCTACAGACCTACACGGTCACCACGGTAACAATATGGGCGGAAAACACAGTAAGCAGAAGAAGCTTGCGAAGGCTAGCGAAGCGAATAAGGCTACAAGTGAAGAGCCGAAAAAGGCCACAGATCTGGGGGCTGGAAAGGCACCGCAGGTGGAGGAGAAGACTGTGGAAGTAGATTTTGCCAATGCTGCACAGGCAGAGCTAGATGCAGCTATTGGCAAAGCGGTACAAGAAAACCCTGAAACTAAGGTCGCGGAAAATAGAACGAGCACGGAAGCACCTGTTGATGATAACAACAATGACACACAGGACACCACGCATGTCGCTGCAGAGACGGCGGGAAAAACAGAGAATGCGGAGACCGTAGAGAGTGCACCGGCAACATCGGATCCAACAGTTGCGAAGACAGCAGAAGGTATTTCTGCAAGCATAACAACAACAACCAGTGCGAGTGAGGGTGCTAGTGAGCCAAATGTCGAGACTGGTGTGTCTGTCGCTGGTCACCCTAAAGAAACTATCGAGCATGCTACAAGTGATGACCCAAAAAAAGCTGCTGAATTGGATGCAGGAAAGGCACCTCAGATGGAGGACAAATCAGTGACTTCCCAGGACGCTCAGGTTGCGCAAGCGGAAATAGGTTCGGCTGTGGCGAAAGCTGTGCCAGGAAATCCTGAAGTAAAGGCATCTGAAAAAGCTTCGGAGACGGCACCTGGGGCATCAGATTCGGATGCAAAGATCGCAAAAAAGGTTCAGGCTGGTGACGAGGGTAGGAGTGTACCTGCGGACACAACTGAGGCTAGTCAGCAATCTACAGAGAGCGCACAAGTTGCGGAAAGCACTAAGGTGGCTGATAGTACTACCGATACAACTGAGAACACAACTGACGTGGATGCAGCCGAGGCACCCACTGTGACTGTGGCGGCTGTTAAAGCTGCACAAGCAGAACTAGACTCAGCCATCACTAAGGCAGTGCAGGGTAATCCTGAAACTAAACCCAAAACCGTGGACGATGTAGCGGAAGCAACACCCAAGAGTGCAACGGCACCGGATGTCAAACAAACACCAGAGGCAGTCGAGACACCGGAACTGGCTACAGAGAATGCCCCAAAGGCTGCCACTGAGGTGGAGGGTGTGCAAGCATCTCAAGCGGGTGAGGGGGATGCGATGACAGAAGTTGAGCCAAAACCAGTTGAGGCCGATAACACTACTACTGAGGCGTCCGATAAGGCTACCAGTGATGACTCAACAGTTGAGCAAACACCAGTTGGGGCAGAAAGCACTACTACTACTGATGAATCCGAGAAGGCTACCAGCGATGACCCAAAGGCAGCCTCTGAGTTGGGTGCAGGAAAGGCCCCTCAGATGGACGACAAAAGCGTGATTGCTGCAGAGGCCGAGGCTGCACAAGCGGAACTGGACTCGGCGATCAGCGAAGCGGTTCAGGGTAATCCAGAGCTCGAAGAGGCTTCAGTAGCAACAGAGCAACCCCCAGTACCGGCTGATGATACCACAACGGATGTTACTGAGCCAGCCACAGGAGATGACCCTAAGAAGGCCGCTGAGCTGGGTGCAGGAAAGGCGCCTCAGATGGACGACATTACTGTGACTGCGGGAGATGCGGAGGCTGCGCAAGCGGAACTGGACTCGGCTATCAGCAAAGCGGTTCAGGGTAACCCCGAGACCAAGCCTACGACACGGGAAGATGCTTGATAATAAAAGCGTTATAACGTATTTACTTGCTGCGTTGTTGTTGGATATCTTTCTCTCTGTCACTGTTTGCTGGTGTGTATGAGAGCCACAAGTGGTGCTGTTTCGGTGAATGTTCTGTAAACCGTTGGAAGTGTGGGCGCATAATTACTGCAGCACGACCGTCCTACTGCCGCAACCCATACATAGGGCTCACCATTCACAAGCCAATTCACTCCACCCTCGGAAGAACTTAGACTGAGACAGTTAGATATACTTCATTGCACACATAACGAGATGCACCTCGTTTTAGACAGAATCAGATAATGTGCAGAAATTCACCATTCACAAGCCATTTGCTCACTCCACCCTCGGAAGCACTTCGTCTGAGACATGGTTAGATAT